TTCTTTGATGTTCCTGACGCCCTGTTCAGGTGGCCTGGTTTTAAGCGGTTTTCTGAACACCCGATCATATTCTACAAAAAGCCGTTGTGAATGTGAGACCTGTTTACATCATCCGTGGCTTGTAGCCAGGCTATATTTCATATGGTTTTGTTGACGTAGGGGCACTAATTGCATCACAGATAGCCATGTACCAAGATCTCCCCCCCCCCCAAATCTTCCGGAATCGGTTCTCTAAGATATGAGTCTAAGACCTTCCAAGATCCATCAACTTTTTGAAATCGCTTTAAAAGGCCCTTTAAGTTGCTGGATCTTTTGGAAAGTTTTGTTTCTGAAAAATGCTATGTGATCTTGGGCTGACATGGGATTTTTCTGGGAGATCGTTGTCAGTGAGGACTATTTCTTAAAACATGTGATGTCGTATCAGGATTCACTTTGAAACTTTAAAAGTTTTAAGATGAGTTCAAAGCCTGACCTGGATTTAGCGGAGCTGTCTGTAAGTGGATAGTTTCAAACTCAACCTGCAGCCATGCAAAACATGGCGAATAACATGACTTCTGTCATCACATTTCTCACTGGGGATAAACGCAAACCTCATCAAGCAAAACGCGTATCATATCAACTTTAAGTCTAGTATGAAACACTTTAAGTATCAGGTGTTGTCTGGTTTGTAAGTACAACATTGCCAGCAAAATGAGAAATGCATGCTGGCTGCTGCCTCTATATCCACTCATCTTGCTATATTATCCTACCGTGCGGTATTTTCCTTCACACGCGCTCGGGTGGAGGTCAAATTGATCCCTGGAGGTTTTTCCAGAATGGTTTCCGAACGGCGCGACGCAGCCGCACCAAATTTTACATTGTAGACAATTGAAAAAAGGATCGTTTGGCATTAAACATTTAGGTGTACCTTGTAAGGTAACTGAACTACGGCAGGCCAAAGTCAGGCCACGGATTCTGTCAAGTCGGTTCTGCGAATTTCTAGGGAATCGTTCAATCTGATGCAACAACGAAGGGTTAGACGCAGCTACGCATCGCTGAGACACTTAGGTAACGCAGTGATTGAATAGACACATTCAATTGACCTAAGGTCAGTTTGAAGGTCAGATCAAGGTCAAACGAATATGTTTTATTACTCTAGGGCTTGCTGTACGGGGCAGTTTTTATGCTCATTTCAAATTTACTCATAACAGGAACCGCATTGTACATCTTCCATGGACTTCTCAAAGGTCAGAATAGTTTACTGACCCATGTGAAAATTTTACCCGGGTGAACATTTTGTTTTTAGGAACATGCTGCTTAACGTGATATTTATCGCTTATTCAAATGAGAAGCTCAAAGCAGTCTTGCATGATTTTGGCCACCATGAACTTCGAAAGGTCAGACATGGTCACTGACCTGAAAAGAGCATGTGACGTTTTGCCTCGAACAGGTGTCTAGGTTCGCAGGGCACTTTGGAGACCAACTTGGGGTTTGACCTTGTTTGACCTTATGTGACCGAATTTCATGACCTGGGAAACACAAGCGTTGACCTTAGTGAGCTCAGGTACAAGGCAATGCACCTTGTGAATTTTATGTCTCTGGCTCTCTTAGTTCGTGAGACCTCAGGGGGTCAAATTGACCCCCACCAGAGCGAAGGGCATCCAACCGGCCACCCGGCCGCGTGTTAAACCTACTGTGCTTGAAAAGTAATAATTACATTTTTCGCAACGAGATATCCCCCTGGCAGGGCAAACGCAGGATTTGCCAATACTTTTTGAAGACGTTGATTTATGCTGATGCTTTTCTGACGTAAATGTAACATCAAGCCCATGCCCTGAAAGACAGCCCGTAAGGAAAGAAATATGCGCTTCTCGAACTGGAGTTCCTTGTATGAAGAAGTCGTCAGCTTTCCAACGTTCACATCATGCTGAAGCTCAGTCTGCAGCTCCGAGAGAACATAAACTGATGCAACGTGCATCTTTTCGACCATAATTCCCATGGCTTCACCTGTCATTTTTGCAATAGTTGTCCCAATCTTCTACACATGGAATAATACAGTGGTTTCGTATCTTATAATGTAATTATACAACCTCCCCCCCCCCCACAAAGTGCCAAGCCAAGATATGGTACAACAGCAACGTTGTGTGTGCATGACTGAGGTCATGTGGTTACTTCCATGCAGCAGGAGGGCGGCACGCTCGAAACATAGCGTCCTGAACAGCACTCAGCAGCGGGCGTTTCATCTCACGTTATCGTGATACGCTTGAAATGTACAGCACAGATGCTGCCCTCCCTTGTGTTTACCCAAGATATGGTGAACCACGACTGGCTCGTTCTACATTGCGAAAAAAAATGAGTGGAATGCGCACGGAAATAATTGTTGCCCGCAGACATAAATTGCGCCAACTAATCTTGTTGTGCCTTATTTACTACTGTTTGAGAAAATATATTTGTGCGCAATTTGATCAACACGCAGTGTCGCTTCCGTTAGTTACGGTTAAACCTGTATTTGATGAGTCCATAACCTGACAGGCAACACATATTACACATTGCCCTTCCTCATTGCAGAAAATATTTGAGTTGGCAATCGATGATTTGTAAAGAGACTCATATGCTGGGTGGCACGATGCAAAATAAGGGAACATCACGCAAAAGAGCACGCGCCAAAGTAAAATATAGCAGTACGGCAGTAGTAGACTTATTCGTGGGAAAAAACAGGAGAATGGAGATATATATGTGTTGATATTTCGGTAATGTGCTTCTATCGAAACGAAATCAGAAAATTATTCTGCTGTTGTTCTGATAGAGGCATGTTGCCAAAATCTTAAAGCATCTTTATCTCCATTATCCTGTTTTTCCGAAGGATTATGTTATTCCTGCTGTTTTATCTATGTGAATAGTGTTCCTCGCAAATGCATTTCACGTACGTAAAATATGGCGATTTGGATTCCAACATCACCAGTCGTAGTTCGCCACAACTCGCTTTGCCTCTTTTAAAGTAAACAGCGTGATACCAGATCAGATGCTAAATGTCCATTTGGTAGTTAACATACCCAAACACTTGCTCCGGAAATACCGAAACCCGTTTGTCTACTGTGCCATTATCTTTAACAGCTTAGCACCAACATGCGTGCAGAAGCCTTAAGGGAGCATTATTCACTTGAGGGTATTGAAGTGGAGCATTGGACATGACGAAATAAGATCACTTTTAACCATTAGTATCATTTTAGGTGGAAGAGCTGCTCCAGACAGCCTAATTTATCTGTTAAGTAAATATTAATGCATATATTAATACGTCATTGATTGGGGTAAATGACGATGACGTATATTAATACGTCATTGTCTACGTATCAATTGCATCATCGTAACTTGCACAGCATTGATTGAGAGCCAATTGACGGGTGTTACATCTGGAACCCGTATAACACTGATGTACCTGTCGGGACACATGCTCTCCCCGTTCAGGCATTTGCCGGCGTCAGCAGGTTCTCAGTGGACGCTGGTTGCAAAGGTTTTGTTTGAAGCGTTGATTAATGCGTCCAAAAAAATATTATTACCTTCCGAAAACTCACCTCGATGGTAAAATTGAGGCCTGATTCAAGTTCTAGTTTGGCTTTCAACGTGTTCAGAGCGGCAAGATCTTTGATGCTTACTAAAATACCATCGACATATCGAACGTGCATACGAGACTTAATGACATCACCGATAAGAAATTCTTGCTCAACCGGCTTGGGCAAACAGGACACCCAACGGTGAACCCATTGCAATACCATCTGTTTGGTAAACATCTTCCCTTTATGGCATAGGACGTGCACCTTGGTGGTGCACGGCCTCGACATCGCACGCATGGTGTTTTCAGAAATGTCTGATGCGGATATCCTCTGAAAGTTTAACCGTACATCGAGAAGAGGCAAAAACCGTCATCATATTTATTGAGAAAACATAGAAAAGATCATCAATGCTGAGTCCGCTGTGATTTTTAACAAAATATGTACAAAGAATATCCCGCGTCCTAAGTTGATGTGTATGCATATATAGTTATTTTCCAAATATACAGAGAGAGAGAGAGAGAGAGAGAGAGAGAGAGAGAGAGAGAGAGAGAGAGAGAGAGAGAGAGAGAGAGAGAGAGAGAGAGAGAGAGAGAGAGAGATATATATATATATATATATATATATATATATATATATATATATATATATATGGCTATGCATGTATGCCTCCACTCAATCGGTACACTGAAATTAAGCCGCGGCGATTATCACGTACCCCGAGCCGGCCCACGAAAAATGCTTCGAATTTGACGTGGTTGACTTCATTTGACCACCAAGACGTTGTCCTATGGTCAATAATTTTTCACAGAACAAAGCTCCTTCCAGTACCCACCTACTATGTGAGTGTCCTCACTCTACCTCTTTCAGTTCTTGAAATGGTACAGAGGACGAATTCCCCCCTCCCCCGCACACTCCACCGCACATGATATCAGATGTCCTCTACCGCGCGCGTGCGAATAGCTTTGCGCAAAGTAGGCTTAGCTACACATACTTTGGTCTAGATATCTACCCCGTCTTTAGGAAGCTTTGAGTTTACGCCGTTCAGTTTGCAGTTTCGAATCATCTTCAGTCGACAGACCCCGTAACATAACGCAAGGCAGCCGCACGCGCCACCAGACTGCAGAGCTAGAGAGGGCTGCTGCCACTGCGGCACGCACCGGCGATAGCTCTGAGCGGCGCCCATCAGCGGTACGCCTCGCGCGGCGCCGCTGCGGCCCGGCACGGGGCCGGCGCTGTGTGAGGTAGCTCGCGCCGCCGCAGCGCCCCGGGCCTGCCGCCGCCGACACCAGCCAATGACGGCTGCAGGTGGCGACGGCGCCGCTGTCAGCGGCCTTGTCTGCCGGCCGCCCGCCGGCAAAGGGTAACTGGAGCCGGGCCGCCGGTGCCGCGCAGTCTGTCCGTCGCCATGTGTCGGCCCGCGCGGCCCGCTTGCGTCCGGCTCGCGCCGCTCCTGCTGCTCGCGATTGGAAGTGGTGCGGCCCCCCCGCGCCGTCGGCGCCGTCGCCGCCGCCGCCGCGCCCCCGCACCTGGAAATAGACGCCGCCGACGCCGCCCTGGACGTCTGCTGTCGGCGCGAGCAACACTTCATCAAAGTCGGCGTCGGTGAGTGCCTGGGTCACGTGTTGGCAGGGGCTATTCCCGGCCAGGGGTAGATTGACGTCGATGCTGAGATGCTATTGCAGCTCATGCGGTTCGCTAGCCTGCGCTGCGGTGCAGCCGAAGAGACTCAAGTGCACGGCACGCGGCCGTGGCTTTGGGCGCATGGCGGACAGGTCTCACAAGGCGGGGCGGATCACGTGGTCGTCCAAAGTACATCTCTCCTAACTAGAGACCCGCATGACTTGTTGAAAAGCTTGCGCGCTACATGACACGCGCCACGCGCCATGCGCCACATTGTGCGTCATACAGCACGCTGTGGAGAGCGCGTGTTACACGTTTTACTTCTCACTTGTCCACTCTGACTGTACAACATCAAAATGGATGCACCTTGAACAAAGATAGCATCAAGTGCACTGTTTTTACTTATGATGCAATAGCCGAGTTGAAACTAATGAATATGTGTACTTTTGGGCGGGCGGGTTGATAAAAGCGTGAAAGGGATTCATCATCATTGTGCGGATATCAAAACCTAACTAATATGACCGAGCACTTACATTGGCTCGTACCAATTTGTCTCACTAATGGATTGGAAAGTCCTTTTTCATGAGAGCTTGGCTGGCAGACATTCATCGATATGGTCTTCGCGTGGTAATTCACCAATCGCTTTCAGTGGAAAACTTTTGGCCTTGTAGTGAGTGTGACCACGCTTGACAACTTTAGTGGTTTACGTTTGTATTGACCGTGACCGAACCATTATGTAAAGCGCAATCATTTTGTTAAGATATTGGTCCCAGTGAACTGAGCTGTACGTGTGTGCAGTGATAACGCGTCAACTTCTCTGAGTTAAGGCCTCCATTTGCATACCATAACGGTTTTGAGAGTGGCCACAGTGGCCACTCCCAGTTCAGTTACTGCCACATCTATAGGCTGGACGGTGCGGATTTTTGGGAGCAATTCGTCAACAGTACATTTTACTACAGGGAGCAGTTGGTGTCGCAACTTCGCCCGCTCCTCTTTCTGGGGTCTTTCTCCTCAGTATTTAATAGTCCAACGCAGGCGGAGCCATGGGTTGCGCTCGAGCGCCCATGGCCAACTGCACACATGCGTACACATATTTGATGCGCACACACTCTGCCGAACACATACCGTCCGGTGCAGGTTTTTCCTATCTGGCGCTACTGCGGCCAATGGGGGCTTTTGGGCACGTCACCTTAGTCGTCATCACCTATGATGTAAATTCCAAACAATAACAAAACTCACCTTCAAAATATTTGAGGGCGCGCGAGGCTGTCGGCGTAAAAAGTGAATATATTTGTGTTTGCGTGCGTTTGTACTGTATGTCAGCAAGGTGATCATGTCAGCATTTTAGGTTCATGTTTACCACGGTAGATTGTGCTCCACGCTTGTGTGATTTTCCTGGTAAAATTTTTCTCGATCCAGAGCTTAGCAACTCTTGTCTTACGCTATTTTCTTCAAGCGACATTGCCGGATCCCCGGTGGATTACTGGCGTCCATATTCATTGGACGGTGTTGAGCTGGCTAGATGACTTGTAGATGGCATTCTCGACCGCCATGCGGTCGGATCAAGCCCTTATTTAGTTCTTGTGATTAGTAGTTTATCCTAAACTAGCCTGACACCGGTGTACCAGTGGTTTGCGCCTTATAGTGGTTTGCGCCAAAATGCGCATGCTCTGCCGCGCGCGGTGAAGCATATTTGTGCCAATGCGGTGCCCATTTGCTCTTAGCAGAGTTATGTCGATCCAGCGTCGATGAAACGTCGGGTGGTTGAGATCCTTGCCGGCCTGGGATCCATGTCCAATTTTTTTCTTCAATTTGTTGGCCTCCTATGTCTCTTTAATAAACAATAGTGGTTTACGTGGGGACAGATTCGAATGTTGCAGAAAAAAACATAGTTCACAAAATACATGGAAATGGCTGAAAAATTGCAACACATCGTCAAAATCGCATGAAGCTGAATGTGGATGTCATTAGATTAGACTCGTCAAAGTTAAAACTGGCTGTGCCTGATCAACCGACTTAAATGAAGGTTTCTGGTTGGTTTGCATTAAGACAGGCTCTGCTCACTGCTTCACGCCTACGAAATGCCAGCGCCATATGCATTATTGTGAGTGTACCGCATGTTTATCTTGACACCAAGCAGGTGCCGCATCACGTTTGACGGAGACAGTAGCAAGATCACTATTTCTGTTAGCAAAGTTCTTTTCTCTCGATATCAGGTAACTGCCAGGGATTCTAACCTTCATTGAATGGAGAGTCTCGTGATTCCTAACTCAATCCTATAACCGGTTCTGGGTAAAAAATTGCAAGCTGCTGTTAAGGTGCGGGAGCACACCTTAAAACCCAGCATAGGCTTTGCTTAACTAGTAATGGTGATTGTAGCAAGACATGCGTTTTAGGGCGGATAAACTGTTTGACAGATCATTGCAGTGTTTCAACAGAATTCTACATGTTATCTTATGCTTTATTATTTAAGCTGACAGGCGCTGGCAAGAACTTTGGTAGGAGTAACTCACAGCTAGCAGTGCTTGACACTGCAAATCCAAAAAGGACAAGGCGAGAGAGGTGAGGGAGCGAGGCAGGGTGGGGCGAGGAGTTGGCTTAACCTGGGCAATTACCGGATGTAGTCGCCGTTAAATCTTGAAGCAGACAATTACTTGGCAATCAGGAGATATTTGCAAAATACAGGGAAAAGCTGGAAACACGTATCCTTTGTTCAACCGACCCTTTGAAGCGTACATGCCGTCGCTAAAGCCGACAGGTACGCCTCCAGTTCAAACCATAGCCGTGACTCGGATCCTATTCTGAATGCATAGCTTATCACTCACCTGTTGAGTCTTCTGGTCAAGACGCATTACCCACAACCAGATTGAATCGGAGGTATTAGTACGTAGGGGCCACGGGTCTGACTCGCCAACGCTGTCAGCGTGGCGCCAGCTCGTCGCATACTTTCATCGTTTCACTTGGATCATACAAGGTTTGCCACTCGACAGACCGTCAATACAGGGCCAATCTGTGTTTGACGGCCATTTGAAGCCTGGACCGACAGCTGGTTAAGCTCACTGCGCCCGCGAGAGTGAATGCGAGGTCACTTGGCCAAAACAGCGCGGATAGCTGGGGAGCGGCATAGAGGCTGGATATGTCCGCGCTTGCCATGCACTCTCCAGATGTCTAAACGGATTTCATCTGGTGCTTCTTCTCGTCGCAGTTCTCGCAAGACATACCGTTTGAAATCAATTTAATTAATTCAATTAATATATAATTAATATGTTTAGTTTATATATATATATATATGTATATATATATATATATAAATGACAATTAAGCCGTGCCAGGGTTAATCAGCACATCGGCGATGTCCCTCACGCCTAATGTAATGTTGGAGGGGAAGTGGAAAAAGAATGCTGCAAATACAGTTATCATTATCCTTGTCATTGGTGCCAATTTACGCGCAAGGTTCAGTTAGTTCAGTTTTCCCGCCATTGTTAGATGATATGTTATCCTAAGAGGAGCCTAAGCATGTCAGGTGCGTAGCCATGCATGAAGGTACACTTATCCCAGTATTGAAAACGTTTGATTGCCTCAGGCGGTGAACCCATAATCTCGCGGTTGGTAAGCAGCCGTCCCACCCGTGCGACCCACCGCCCGGCCTCGGTGCTCACCGCTGGCTGTGTCTTCACGTTCCCTGCGGTCATAATGGTGCGACACTAGGAATTAGTGTGCCCTTCTTCGGTGCGCTCCACAGACCCCTTCACCATGAGGTGGTGCCTCGGTCAACCAGGACGGCCAGTATTTAGGTACCCGACAGTGCTTCCAACACGAATGCTTTGTACGGTAGCGTTCCCAAGATATGGCTTGATGCAACATTGTTTATAGTGCGAACGCTTGCAATGCTCAAAATCCTAGACGAAAATACCTTTATTACATACCTATGCTCGACAACATTGGTCTACCTCTATGGCGATGAACGCATGAATGCATTGCACACGCCTGTGTATTTCCAAATTTGCAACATATGTGTGCCTGTAGGGGAAGAGCGCAAAACAACTGTGGTATGAATAGGTTCTTCTTTATTGGTCTGTCTCAATAACTCCACGCATTCGGAAACACATGGCTTTAAATATGGGTACTTACACATTCGTTTACCTTAGACAGCGTGTAGCATGATCACAGCTGCTGAATAAAGAGACGTCATCTCAGTCATCAAAGTAGACATGTCTCCTCCGCAGCTGATCAGCTTTAGCTCCATAGCACTCGATTTGACCGCTGGTCGTAGATCAGTAACTGATTGGTGTATGCAGCATCCAAGCACTTGGTAACCGACCGGTCCAGCCGATCAGGCTTTGCTCATTAACCTATCGGTTGTGTAGTCGGAGATTGCGCATGTTTTTTTGTACAGACATGGACTGAATGCTGAGTAGTTTACACTCATTTTCGTTTGAAATGCGGTCCACACGTTGCAGTTGGATGCATATCTAAGACCAGCACTCACACACGAAGCAGTATGTGGTACGCGAGTCCTTTACCTGACATTCAGTTGTGAAATTCTGAGTCAACGGCAGAATTTTGGGCAAAGCTGGATGTGCCGCAGTTCTCGGCACGGCTCGACGTGCCCTCTGACGCCATTGATATTTTGCGCTGCCGATGCCACCGGCCGCAAACCATCCTAGTCAGGGACAAAGAGCGATCGCCTAAAGCAGTTCTCATCCACCCCGCCACGGACGGGTGAATCAGAAGGTGGGCGTACCAACCAAGGCTACTAGAGGATACGCAGACGTGACGTCACCATGGGACTTAAGTTTGGTAGCCCGCAGTATGGTTTTTTATTGGTGCTACGAAAAGGTTGGTAGATACTAGACCCGTGATAAAAACAATGATTTCACCATTGAATTGAACGTTAACCCGTTTCTACACACGTATTTTAATGTTATGTGAATAGATATAATAATTCTGCATTTTAAGCCTGCTAAGGGCAAATCAATACT